TGTGAGCCCATAATATTAATCATTTTCTATATATGTGGAGAAGAGAAATGCACTCAAACAGCTGGCATTGCTTTCTTTCTACTTTCTGTGTTTAAATACATTGAAATAGACCTCCACTGTCACATGAACCAGATTTATTACTCATACTATTTTGTATTTGTAATGTTGTGTTTTTCTTAATTACAGGCACTGTCTGTGCAATGTAAGAGAAACCAGTTCTTAAAGGTTTTTTAACATTTAATGTTAAACGTATTTTGCCATCGAGCTGCTTCAAACAAAACCTTTAAGTTCAACTTTGAGTAGAGCAGCAGTCCCGACAGTTGCTGTGTTTGTGGATACGTGACGTGTCCTGCGATGACGTTCCGTTTTCTCTTCATTTCCTGTGTATCCTGTGTGAAGTGTCAGACCCTACACACTGTTTGTTTTCACAGTCGTTGTGGAGTGGCTTCTGTGTCAGACAGCCGTGCCTGTGTTATCATAACGTTCCTACTGGATGGGATAGAAAATAAACATTTGTAGCTGTGGAAAATCAATTAACCTCCAAAGACCCCGAACAGATCTGAAGTCAGAATCCCATTCAAGAGACATTTCCTATTCTCAAATACTCAAGTTCCAGATTGTGTAGTCTACGTGTAGCCTTGCCAACAGTCTTGACATCAGTAGATACTGTGTAGATGACAGTTGGTCAAACCTGTACTTTGACCAGCTGATCAATGGGGCTGTGAAATAGGTTACATGCTCTCTATCTGTCCACCTGTTGTATATTGTATACTTTTTTATATCAACATTTGTGCCACCATTAAAGTTATTCATATTGCATTATAGGCTATTTGTAATACATTTTGAGCAAAGTTAAAGCCGCTAAGAAAACTCTAATGACTTGTGTAAGTAGAATTTGTTTTTAAATGTCATGCTACATTTACAGCATCTTCCCACTGGTTGTTGTGGTCTTTTAGACAGACTGACGGTATTTTGACATTCATTAACTTCGACATTTTCCGGTGTACCACTTGGTGGATTTTTGCATAGTTTCCTGTGGCCTTTAGAGTTTGCTGCGATGGACTCCGCAGTGATAATGACTTGAACTGATGGTGATAAGAACTCAAACTCTTTGATCCTGCAGCACTACATTCAAAGAAGCTGAAGATAAATGTTGCGTCTGAAGTTCAGTGTCTGACCCCTGATGACATGTTCACCCATGACAGTCTATCTGCTTCCATCTGCACCTCTGAAGTCTGAAATGTTTCCTTCAATCTCTCAGAGAACTTGAAACAGATGATCTGAAAGTGGCAGCTTATGAAGTTTGTTAAAACAACCCCATCACAAAAATGTGATGGGATCGGTTTTCCTCCTGAGCTCAGTTTTTGAGCTGTTGTCACATTATGTAAAAGCCTTTTTCTTTAAATCGTTTGGCTAATCCCAGTAAAGATGTATTCCAAACATCTCTGTAAAAGCAGTTAAAGGATCACATTTTTATGCGTCCTGAATGCAAAATGGAAAATGACCCACTAGTGTAGATTTACGGGCAGACTGCTGACAAATTCTGCAATGACACTTTAACATGTCTGGGTAATAAATCAGATTGTAATCATGAGTGAGACTATAATTCCTGGAATGAAACACTGAACAGTCGCAGGTGCAAACATTTACACTTTTCCAAATCAATGTGTTTGGATAAATGAGTGTGGAGAGAGAAGAGATAGAGAATGAGGAAACAGAGGAAAAAAAGTTGGAGGAATGGAAACAGAAGGAAAAGATAGAGGATGGTAAATGGGGAGGAAGAGGAGGACAAGGATGAGGAAGAGCAATTATTGTCATTGTATAATTCATGCAAAGACAACAGTCCTTAGCAGAACCAAAGGCAAAATGACACAAAATTACGCATCAAGTAGAATTTTGTTTGTTTGTTTTCTTTATTTTATTTTTTATTGACTATTATTCTTAATGGCTATTGTGCAGTAAACACAAAATACACATTTTATTATTTTGAATTGACTTGATGCTTTCTTTGCTAGATGGGATGGATTCATAAAGAAGTCAAGTCCTGACCTCATTAGTCCTTAACAATATTGACTTTAACGGTGCAAACCCATTTGGTATTGCCCTGATGCAAATGGAGGTGTCTCCCTCTGCTGGCTGTGATGTTAAATGCACAAATCCAAGAATTTGTCGGATTTATTTGTCGGATTTTGTGCATTTAAGTGGTACAAGATGGTGGATGGGGTAAGATTGCTAATAATTTCTACACAATTCCTATAATTTAGTTTTTCAAAGTGGTTTGATAACAGGTAGGATCTGGTAATTACTAAAAAGTGGAAAAATAGCAGAGGTGAAAGTACATTTAAGTGCTCTTATAAAACCAAGAACCCTGAGGTGTGACCAATTTACCACCACTAAAGAGTTATGTGCAAAATGGTTCCCAGAAACAGTCTGAAAAAGGTCATCTGGATAAATTCAATCCATTATAAAAATGTAATTTAAAGTTTGCACAGCCTTATTTGAAAAATTAGAACTATGTCATTGGAAATAATGAAAAACAATGGAAGTTCAAATGAGTTTAAAATGTTTATTGTAAAGGATTTACAGTAACTGTTTTCACCGAACAGGAGATATATGGATGCAGTGAGAGAGGACATGCAGATAGTTGGAGCACACTGGTGTTATCAACCAGTCTCAAATTAATAACACAACCAGTCTTGTTAAAGTTATCTTTAATTGTTATTTTAACCTACTAATATAGCAATAATGTATTACTTGAAGTATTACAAATATACTAAAATCAATAGCATTCAATAACAATTAAATATCTGAAGGATTTTGAGAGTTCTTGGCAAATTGGGTGGCTTCAATGAATAAAGTAACAACACAGACAAACACAGTTTACAAAAATACTCAAATTTATTTATACAACACTGTCAAGTTAATGACGG